AAGAGAACTATAGACCAATCTCCCTAATGAACACAGATGCAAAAATCCTCTATAAGATAATGGCAAACAGAATATAGAGGGTCATCAAAAAGATCACACACCCTGACTAAGTCAGATTTATCCCAGGGATGCAAGGATGGTTCAACATATGTAAATCAATAAATATGCTATAATAATACACTATATTAACAGTCAAAGACAAAAACTGTATGATGTTCTCAATAGATTCAGAAAAGGCATTAGACACAAATCAACACCCATTCATGATAAAAACCGTGCAGAAAATTGAATTAGATGGTCTCTATCTCAATTTGATAAAGGCTATCTATGAAATCCAACAGCCAACATGATACTAAATTGTCAAAAACTGAAAATCTTCATGCTAAAATCAGGAACAAGACAAGAATTCCACTGTCATCACTCATGTTCAATATAGTTTTGGAAACATTAGCCACAGCAATTAGGCAAGAGGAAGAAATAAAAGCATTACCATGTAATAAACTAAAATCCAAGTGGATTAAAGATCCAAATACTAAAACAGAAACACTAACTTGTTGGAAGATAAGCTAGGTAGAACTCTTGAAGTCACTGGCATATGAAAAGACTTTATGAACAAATCCTCCAAAGCATGGGAACTAGCACAAAGAATCAACAACTGGGATCCCATCTTTTTAAAAAGCTTCTACACTACAAGAGAAACCAGCAACAGAGCTGAGACAACCAAAATATGGAAAAAAATTTTTACCAGCTGTTCCTCAGACAAAGGTCTACTATCTAGAATACATAAAGAACTCAAAAAAGTCAGACCCCCCTCAAATATAAAGACCCGATTCAAAAATGGGCATCTGAAATGAAGAGACATTTCTCAGACAAACAAGTAAAAGCAGCAAGAAAATATACGAAAAAATGTTCAACATCACTGGTCATTCAAGAGATACAGATGAAAACAACACTGAAATTCTACCTTACTCCAGAAAGAATGGCTGCTATCAAGAAATCAACTAATAACAAATGCTGGCAGGGGTGTGGGGAGAAAGGAATCCTTCTTCATTGTAGTGGGAGTACAGACAGGTGCAACCACTGTGGAAATCAACATGGAGATACTGGAAGTCCCATTTGCCCCAGCTATTCCTCTGCTGGGTATCTTCCTAAAAGAATCAAAAGCATCATACCACAGTGATATATGCACATCCATGTTTATAGTGGCATGTAATAGCTAAAACTTGGAAACAGCCCAATTGCCCATCCACTGGAGACTGGATAAAGATTTTTTTAAAAATAAAATGGAGTACAACTTAGCCATAAAGAATGAGAAACTAGAGACATTTATAGCTAAATGGATGCACATTGAGGACATACTCTTAAGTGAATTTAATAGGGCACAGGTAAAAATACCCAGTATTTTCTCTGGTGTGATTAACTAAGTGTAAATAAGGGTTAAAATGTATAATTAATATTTTGTAATAGGAATAAAAGATCTAAAGGTATTGGGCAAATAGGAAGGTTAGGGGAAAGGTAAAAAGGGAAGAGAAAAAATAAGAGAAAAGGAAGAAAATGGAAACAAAGTCTTTGTAAATAGGGAAGGGAGGCTAGGGGAATGGAGAAAAAAATCAGAACTAAGATATGTCATGTAAAGGTACAAGATCCCAATGATGAATGTAAGCATATTGTACATCTAAAAAAAAAAAAGAAAGTGATAGGCACACAGGGTCTGTCATTACAGTAGAACCTCAAGTGCTAGCCTTCTACTGGTCCCAGCATAGGTGCCCCAGACTCAGGCAGCCTCCCACCACAAAACTCCATGTAGCTAAACTTGTTTCCACCTGCTATCTTCAAACTGCAGCTGTTTTACATTACTTATCTTCTGCACCCAGATTCTTCCAGTCCAGAGTTTGTTCTCCTGCAAGCCAGGAGCTGTAGAATGTTTTACCTAATCTCATGATTTTAATTTTACCATGTCACAGTCACTTTTTTCTGGACCCAAGTATTCAGGGTGGACTTTCACATCCTCTTAGAGTTACAGAAAATATGGGGATATTCTGAGCCTGTATTTTGGATTTGTACTGTAGGATGATTTGAGTACAGACTGCTTCCAACTTACCATCTTCTGACTACTCTAGGCTTTGCTTTTGAAGATACATATTTTGCTGGGTATAAAATTCTAAGTTGATAATTTCTTTCTTTTAATACTGTTTAAGACATAGTTCTATTGTGTTCTGGAAAGTATTGCTCCTATGGTAAAAAATCTGCTACCATTTTGATTTCTCCATTCTGTGTCCTGTGAACACTATGGGAATTGTTCTACTTATTATTTCTTTCCAGTGGATCTTTTCCAATCCTCATACCCATGCACTAAGCAGTAGTCAGCTAAAGACTCAGTGACAGCCCTTTTACCAAATTCTAACCTGTTTCCAAGCAGCTATTTGCTCTCTGGTAACCTGTCTTATAGGTTACAGATGCCTTGGCTTCCCCAATTTCCCAGACTAGTCAACTTAGGGAGACTGCTGGGCTTCCATTTAGGTTCTCCTTTTATGTAATGAGACCTGGAAAAATATGTCCAGGCTATCAGCAAAGGTAGCTGAAAGGCTCTCCTTGCTCATTTCCCTTCTCTAAGGAATCTTGTTTTATAATGCCTGCTGTATAACTGCTGAAGACTATTGTTTCATATCCTCTGGTTTCTTTAGTCCTTGTGACTAACACCTCAAGTCAAGATCATTATTTAAATTTATAAAAATCAAATCCTAAAAACCCTATAAAAAATCTGCTTTAATTTCTATAGGCCAAAACTCCGACATAAATAATAAGAACTCTTTGTTTTTAAAAATATTTCTTTTTAAGAATCATATCACAGAGATATATGCACACCTATGTTTATAGCGGCACAGCTTATAATAGCTAAATCTTGGAAACAGCCCATTTGCTCATCCATTGGAAACTGGACAAAGAAGATGTGGTTTTTCTATAAAATGGAATATTACTCAGCCATAAAGAATGAGAAATCAGAGTCATTCATAGGAAAATGGATACATATTGAGGATATACTCCTAAGTGAAATAAATAAGTCACACATGTAAATATTGAATAGTTTCTCTGGTGTGAATAAACTATTACATAAGATCCTAATGATATAATTAACAATGTGAAATAGGAAGAAAAGGGCTAATGGTGTAGGGAAAGTGGGAAGGGTAGGGGAAAGCTAATAAGGGAAAAGAAAAAAATATGAAAAAATGAAAAAATGGAAATTAATTGTTTGTAAAGGGAGAGGGGAGGAGTGGGTGAAGGGAGGGCAGGGACAAGGGGAAAAAAAATGAGAACCAAGACCTATCATGTAAAGGTACAAGATCCCAATAATGAATGTAACTGTACTGTATACCTAAAATGTACCAATAAACTCAATGAGGAAAAAAAAATTAAAAATGTTTCTTTTTAGTTTGAACATCTTGAGTAGAGAGAAACAAACAGTATGCAGCTATGAGTTTCCTTGGGGGCTTACTAATTATGCTTAATACACAAGCATTTGCAATGTATTCAAAGTATTGCTAATTACTTAATGTAGTCTGTGATTTGAGCGAATGAATGCATCAATATGATAGCAAAGCCAATAGCCACTTTAACTTAAAATAAACAGGCAACACCACTCACACATTTCCTAGCAACCACATTATTCACTGAATTGGAAATAATGTACATATCTGACACCAAATTATAGTTGTCAATTATCACTTCACACCAAAAAAGTGATAGCTACATAGCAAAATGTCTTATTCTTTTTTTTTTTTTTTTTTTGGACCGGGGCTCCAACTCGGGTCCCTGTGCTTGCAAGGCAGGCAGTGGAAGCACTGAGCTAAATCCCAGGCCCAAACTGTCTTATTCTTAAGAATATACATGAATAAGTGTATTTTGTTGTATCAAATAGCAAGGAAGCTAAGAATATATAGTTACCATCAAATGATTCAGGAACTAACTAGCGCTTCACTGACAGAAGACTAGACAATTTGAAAAGCAATAAGTAAACCAAATAGGTTTAACTCACTGATCACACAGTGAAAGTAAAATAATGGTAAATTGTACTTCAATGAAACCACAAAATAATAATTTCTTTAGAGTGAATGCACGTTATCTCTTATTGGAAATGCTTAAAACCAAAAGTGTCTCAGAGTTTTTTGGATTCTGGAATATCTGCATAGACTTTACTGAATGGGCATCATTTGAAAATTCAGTATCATCAAAAACCTTTTCAGTTGTGCTAAAAAAGTTTTAGATTTTGGAGTATCTCCTATTTCAGATCTTCAGATTAGGGTTTTTCAACCTATAGTAAAATAATGAGACAGAATCAAGAATTTATTCTGTCTTTTCTATATAACCTGTATTACTAGATAACTCAATAGCACCTAAGAGGAAATTTCTCTTTATTCAAGTATTCTAGTTATAGAAAAAGAATGATAGCATACCCCTATTTTGTACATGACCATTACTAAGAGTTGGCACAAGAGGACTCACTTGATAGAAAGTATGAGCATCACTTGCATCATCCATGAGGTAGTCTTGCTAAAAACAAAACTGAACCTGGATTTTAATCAATCTGTAGTAAACTATCCATTTTATGAGCAAAAAAAAAAAAAAGAATGTTGATTAAAAACAATGGATGCAGACATAAAAATTTAGCATTTGGGAGATGTAATCTTCAATAATATGTAACCCAAAGGGAATACTATCATCAGCATAATAGAAATATAGAGAATTAGCTTGTAAATATATAGAATCTCTCTGGAAGAACACATGAGAAACTGGTAACATGATACCTGGAAAGGAATTAGATGACCACGTGTGAGGAATGGAAGGAGATTTTCACTCCAACTATATGAACATATCATTAATGGGGGGAAAATACACCATTTAATTGCAATTACATAGGTTTCTAAACTAAATTAGTAAGTTCTGAGAGAAGGTGCTTTGAATTAAAGAATGATAGCTTTTATTATCAAAAATAAACTTGTTACCTCATCATATGTATATCTGTAGTCAGCTTTCTTTGATTTGAGGTCCCATAAGACCACTGTTCCTGATTCAAAGCCAATCAAAAGCTATAATAAAAGAAAGAGGCACATTACCTAGGAATGTCTACTGTACAAAACAGCTACTTGCTGATAATACCCATATCCTTCAAGCATAAAATTATAACTAAACACTTCCACTGCTAATTATTAATCACATAAATGGCAAACAAGAACATATATGCATTGCAAATTTTTATGCCTTTAATAATTAGGTACTCAAAATATAACTGATATTTGAAAAAGCACACAGTCCTGGGGCCAGGGATTTAGCTCAGTGGCTCTGCACTGCCTGGCAAGTGCAAGGTCCTGAGTTCAATTCCCAGTACAAAAAAATAAAAGAATACAGTATCATTTTGATGTCTGAAGTATATATACATCCTTACTAATATAGTTTAACAAAGTACTATTAAAAACTAATTTGTATGTGCTTTAGCAATTACAAATCTTCCAAATTCTACACGCTATCAATTTAGCTCCATCTATATATTAGTTATAAATCATACTCAGCCTATATTTCATGAGATACATAATTTCAGTGACTACATCAGCATTTATCTACATTAGAACCTAACAGCAGGTATTTTTCAAAAGAAAATTAGTTATACTTTACCCTATTTCTCTGGCAATCCTGGTTATAGTATTTCTCTTTATCACTGTTCTGCCAGAAACCTACAGGTTGACCTTAACTCTAGTTTCTCCAAGAAACAAAAACACCATGTAAATTTAAGATTACATTCTATTATCTAATTTATGTGACTCCCTCACCCGCACCTCCCCTCCTAATTCAAGAGACAAAGATAGTTTTTCTGATCTCCAGTCTTGCTCCTATTTTAACCCCTTCTATATTATACCTAGAGTAAAAGTTCTGAAATACCAACCTGATAAGATCATTATGTGCTTCTATTTAAAACTCTTTAAGCATTGACACTATTTTCAGGGAAGTCCAAATTTGGTAACATGACTTGAACAGAACACTAAGATTAAAATAGTGCTCTAAGAAGATTCATCAAGACATGATGCAAGAATGGGCAGGGGCTGGTTATGTGGCTCAGAGATAGAATGTTTGTCTAGCATATGTGAGGCCTTGAGTTCAATACCTAGTACCAAAAAAACAAACAAACAAACAAAAAACCTAGGCAAATCCTAATGCACTGAAGCAAGCCTATAATACCATCTGCTTGGGAGGCTGAGGCAGGAGGATCACAAGTTTGAGGGCAACAGGGAAGACGAGAGCTGTCTGTCTTAAAATAAAGAATAAAAAAAGCTAGAGATGTAGTTGAGTGGTAGAGCACCCCTGGGTTAGATACCCAGTACTGGGAAAAAAAAGGGCTAGAATACCTTGAATATTCAATGACATTATGAATCTTAATACAGAAGAAATACAGTACTACAAAGGAAGGAATGCTTCCATTAATGACTCAAAGTGGAAGGCCAATTTCTTAATTCTTTCACCATGCCTTCCACCCAAAGGCTTGGCTTTCAAACAAGTGTCTTGTATAAAAGAAAATAAAATGATGATCGAAGTTAAAGTACACTAGCTTTATATATAGTTTCTATCAAAACATACAATTCTACTATGACAAATGGAAGCTGTTATCCTTTGTTTTCCCAGTGGCACAGTGAAAATCAGTGTTGAATAATTTATAGGCTTGACCTCACCCACTAATCGAGGAAAGGAATAACCTGTGTAAACTCCTTCACAAAACGGAGACGTTTCAGTTCATTGACTTCTGACAACAAAAACTTCCTAGTATTTACTTTAGGTCAACAGCATAAAGTTTTAGACAGCAAAATAGAATTATTAAACAGAACTACCTAGAAGATTATTTTCAATTAGGAAATAAAAATTCATTGAAAGAAAATGTTATTATATTTTTAATGCATTAACTAACCTAAATTTAATAGTAGAAAGATACTGATTGTATGAAACTGGCTTCACAGTACAAAAAATTAAACAACATTTCAAAAAATCTCTGCATTATTTAACTATTCATGAAGAACATTTTAAGGGGGCCAGGGATTTAGCTCAGTGGCACCGCTTGCCTTGCAAGTGCAAGATCCTGAGTTTGATCCCTGGTACCAAAAAAGAACATTTCAAGGAAGATGAGATATTATAACATAAGGCAATGCATTATAAAAACTATAAAAATTGAATAGCTAGTTCAATTTAAAAGAATCCCAAACCAAAAGAAAACTTTTGTTTGTTTCATCAGAAAGTAAGGGAAAATACTGTGGAGTAGTCCAAATAGAAAACATATTTATTAAATTTTATGTATGTTTTAGTATATATATTTTTTGTGCTTTCAAATTATAAAACATTATTTCCCTTGTTCACAATAAATAACAAGTCACTAAGTATATATGATATACAATCATATAATAGCAATCTCAACTTTTAAGCATGTGTGTTTCTATAGTTGCATATTTAAAAATACAAAATATCATTCATTTAATAGTAAAGACATTCTACCTTTCCTTCATCCATTGGATTATCACTTATATGGACAACAGGTCCTGGGTGAGATTTAGATGACCTAAAAGAGAAAAAAGTTACGACTTTTTTCTAATTAAAAATCTCAGTATAACTACACATTCATTAAAATAATAAAAATAAATATTTTACTTGCTTTTAGATTTATTTTTATTTTATTTATTTAAAAAGGAAAGCATCTCAGCATGTAATCAATAACATATAGTTACTAATATGGATCAAAACAGAAACAAGGAAAAAGACTCTCACATTGATACATAAATAATTTTTTTTTTTTTTTTTTTTTTTTTTTGGTACTGGGGATGGAACTCCGGACCTTGCACTTGCAAGGCAGGCAGCAAAACCACTGAGCTAAATCCCTGGCCCTATATCAACAAATTTTAACAATTAACTATACTTTCTATGTAGAAAAGAATCTTCAATTTAGTCAAAGCAATCAACGTAGAAAATCTACTTGCAATGTAGAATTCATTAATGCAGGCATTTAAAATATCATTGTCTTATTTTACCAATTCAGACATTCCATCTGGTTCCAAGCAGTAAATATTTAATTACATTTAAAAAATTCAACAAAGTAATGCCTATACTTTCTTAGAGAAAAAGAAGTCACACACAATAAGAATATGGCTGGAATGATGCATACACAGTGGGATAAAGTAAATTCTTATTCATAAACTCTGAAGGCAGAAAATCCACTCCACTTCATGAGTCTGTGAAATATAAACACCTGCACTTAGGCCTAACCATTAGATGTTGTGATCAAATCAAAATCCGGACTCTGACAGCTCACACTACCAAGGAACTTATGTGACAATAATGTCCCTACCACAGAAGAGAAAACCAGTCAAATTACATCACTACAAGTACATCAAAACATTACTTGAGTGATATATGTCACAAAATTATCCTTCTGTCAAAGGTATCCATACTGTGGAATGCAATACTAGACTCTTTGTTTTAAAACAAAAGAAACATTAAAATGGGATCTTGCCAATATCCTTAAACTTTAAAAAAACTGTAAAATGAGGTAAAATACAACAAATTTTTGAGTGAAAAGTTAGCATTAAAAACCTCAGGGCCCTACAGCTCAACTCAGTTTTTGTTATCAATATTAATAATTAAAAACAATCATCACTGAAACAAAATTAAATAAATTTAATTTTAGGGAAATTAATTCCATAACATGTTAACTTTAGCATGTATCTACATCTATTTGTTGATTATTAAATTCCATCAAGTAGTTTGCATCAGTTGTTTTCTAAACACTAGAGGCAAACTTTTTTGAATTATAACGAACATTTAAAAGAAAAATAATTAGATTAAAGAATAGAAAGAAATTAGAGTATTTTCTTCACCTACCAAGAACAATGACTACTTTATCTTGGCTTACAGCTTATACATATATGTATAAATACATTATTATATATATATATATATATATACACACATATACATATATATATACATATATATATATATGTATATGTATATATATATGTATGGCATCTGCAAACAAGCTAATAGGATAATACTTAAGATTAATTAATATGTATTTAATATCAAGATTGTCTAACACATTTAACTCAATATGGTTAGCTACTATATGGTATTATCATACATGGTCCTGATGCTTTTAGATAGGGAATTTGCTCAAACTCACAGTTCAATGGCTTTATTCCACATAATGACGTAGCCTGAGAGTGTGAAGGACTCCACATTGACAATATGTATATTACCTCGTTCAGTGCCTACATACAGCCACTTACTCTGGAAAGGCAGATGGCAAAATGTAACCCTATAAGAGAAAATATATCCAAAAGGAAATTTAAAAACCTCTGGCAAATTTTATTGGCTACATTAGAAGATGAATTATAATATGTGTGATTGAGAAAAAATAAAAATTATGTAGAACCATCTACTCATTGTGACTGAAATTTAATTATGCTAACCCAACTTATATGTCTAACATAAAGGCATTACAGTAGATAGCACGGCACAACAAAAGAAAATGAGTTTTAAGGTGAGAATATGCTTCAATTCTGGCTATGCCATCCACTGTGTAATTCTGGACATATCACAAATTTAATCTTTTAAACCACAAGCTGTAACTCCAATACCCACATCAACCCTAGTGAAAATATACAATGATAATATACAAATAATATGCAACGGTAATAATCGCTGCTGCATTGTCAATACTAACACTATGCATTGAGCAGGACAAAACAGAATATCTTCTATTCCCACTAATATGTAGTTTTATTCCAGATAATTTTAATATGAAAATAACTATTGAATGTAAATACAATTCATATTTTTTTTTGAGTCAGGGTCTCACTATATAGCTCAGGCTAGCATGGAACTCATGGCAATCCTCCTGCCTCAGCCTCCTGAGTGTTGGGACTATAGGTATGCGCCACCATGCTTAGCTCTCATTCTTTCTTAAATGGAATATGCAGATAGGCAATTACTTAAGCTTTATAGATTTATGTTTTTGTTGAGTATTTAATATAATACTGTATATTCTCTTTCTAAAGTATTTATGTAAATTTAACTAAGAATAGACATGCTTAATGAGTCAATGAAATCATATTGTAGTACAGACTAAGTATCCCTTTTAAAAATGCTTCGGACTAGACATATTTTGCATTTTAGATCTTTTTCAGATTCAAATAGTTGCATATATGTAAGAGATCGTGGGAAAGGAACCTCAGTCTAAACACAAAATTCATTTATGTTTCCTACATACTTCATACATATACAATTTTTTTAGTGTATCTGCATTTTAACTGCAATTTTTTCCACTTCTTATATCATGTGGACAATTAACATTTTCAGATTTTGGAGAATTTCATATTTCAGATTTTTAGATTATGGATGCTCAACCTAAACCTTGTCACCTCTAAGACAGAAGTACTCATCACCTTCTCTGAAAACCTTAAAGCCACACATTATCATATTTAGAATTTTCCATATTTGAGAAAAGAACATAATACATATTTATGTATATGTGTATAGTATAGAAATAGCACCCATAAAACACACTAAATATTTTTCAGATACAATTTCTGATAGCTTATAAAGTATGTACCCACAGTGTGACTGTACAATCCAATAAAAGCTTTATGTTCACACAACACTTGTACACAAATGTTCATAGCAGCTTTGTATAGCTCAAATTGGAAATAACTCAAATGTCCTTCTAGAGGTGAATAAATGAACTGTGGTATACAGTTAAAACAAAAAACTACTCAGCAGAAATAATACAAAGGAATGAAACTATTAATAATGCAACACTGATGAGTCCCAAAAATCTTTATAAGTCAAAAGACGTCAGACAAAAGGAAGACACACTGCATGATTCCACTTATATGCATTTTATAAGCAATAAAAAGTGTAAAAGAAAGTAGATTAATAGTAGCCTGGTGAGTGCTGGGATATAGATGGAGCTGTGAGTGGGAGAAGCACAAGAAAGCAGAGGAATTCTCCTTTTGAGATAATTAACTTTTTGAGATGAGGAGCAAATGCATTATCTTGATTGTGGAAATGGTTCATGGTTGTGTCTAAGTGTCAAAGCTTATCAACTAATCAATTTTTCTCATAGATTCGTAGACTTAGAAATTATGAAAATAGACTGTGGTTATGATTAATATATAGGCATAATCTCCAAAGGTGGCCTGCCTGGATTCAATGTCCAAGATTTTCATTCACTAGTAGCTGACCCTAAGTAAACTATGTGACCTCTCAGAGAAAGTTTCTAAGTAGTGAAGCACATCTACTTCATCGTGTTTACATGAAGATCAATAAGTCAAAGCATGTTAAATGTTTAAAATGGAGCCTGATATTACATGTTCAGTAAATGCTAGCTAAATATTAAAAATGAGCAATATTCTACCAATCAGAAACTGTATAGAAATTTTAACTGGGTCAAATAAAATCAGCAGTATGCCATATATAAAATGAATAATGCAACAAATATCATAAATGCTTTAAATCATGCTAAATCTTTAGAAAATTTATATTTGAAAATAATTAAATTGAAATAACAGATTGACAAAAAAAATCAGAAAACGACTTCCCCAACATTTTTGCTGCTTCTAATTCTGCACTATTCTAACTCTACGAAAGCTACTGATTGGACATAACCTTTTATTTTATAAAATTATTTAAATATAATATGCTTATAAAATTTAAACATTTTTCCTTATTAAAAGAAATAAAGAGAGGTAAGGGGAAAAAATGAGAATCAAGACTTGCCATGTAGAGGTATATGATCCCAACAATGAATGTAACTGTACTGTATCCCTAAAATGTACCAATAAACTCAATAAAATTAAAAAAAAAAAGAAATAAAGAAAGTCTTCAATGTTCAAAAATAAAATTTAGAACTTTTGCATAAACTTGTTTTGTCAATATTAGCTACCATCGTAAGATTTTTTTCAGTCAACTATAAAACCAACTTACATTCCTGGGATTTTCAAGCATCTTTGTTTTCCATAAAGGAGAAAAACAAACTATGCAATGTAAAGCATGTAATCCTGTAAACGGGAACTAAAATATTCACTAACTATATTCGCACTGAGATTTAAGGAGATCACTATAATGAGCTTTAAATACAGTACTAAAAAGAACAAAAAACACAAGTCATAGAAAAGTATTTGTATAAAGCACACCCAATTAGAACCATCAGTTCCATGACTGCCCTCGTTATTTAAATAAATAAATTATTATTATTTAAATAAATCAGGGAGGGTGGCACAGCACAGCTTTCGCTTATTCTTTAAATTATCATTAACTCAAGAATTTCTCAACCAGCATATATTTCTGGCTTTGAATGTGTTGTTTATTAGAAGAGTGAAAATTAAAATTATGATTTCAACCAAAGAAAGTAATTCATGGCAGTGATTAATTAACTACAGAAAGGCATTAAGAAATGTGTTTCCCCAAAACATATCACTAAGAAAGTAACTCAATCAATATGTCCTACCAAGAATTTTAAGATTTTTAAATTATGGGCAATTTCATCAGTCAGTTACCAAAATGTAAAACTGGTGGTTGAGACAAATTGGATTTGACTATATTTAACAGTGTTCTTTTAATTTGATATATATAGAACCTCATTTCCTAATTTACAAAATAAGAATCTTGGCCTTCCTTATAGAGGTTTTAAAGGAAAAACATAGTTAAACAGTAACTATACAAGCTTTTATATTATAATAATAAATGAAAAATATATTGATTACTTAAAAGAAGTAATGTACCAGAGCATTTAAAATTATTGTGTGTATTTATATATGTATATATGTCCATATGGACATATATACATATATACACACACACACACACACACACACACACATATATGTGGACATACACATGGGTTTTTTGTTTGATAACTCTAAGAAAATAATTCACAATAGAAATCTTAACTTTTTTTTTTTAGTAAAAGTCATGAAACAAATAGTACTGAATAGCCTTGGGACAAATATTTCAAATATTTTAGATCAACAAGTGTGAAAAATACATGGATGCTAGCTAGGACCAAGTCATTTACATTCACCAAGGGATCATTAGCAATTGCACCAAAGGCAGAGGTTAGGAAAGCACTTGAACATTGGGGCTTGCCCTCTTTCTTAGTGCATGTGGAAACCACCCAGGTGGTCACACAATGAATCTCACACTAACCTGTTGGGAGACCATGGTCAAGCCCATAACCAGAACAAAAGACCAGACATATGAGAAAGGCAAACTACATTACTCAACCCAGGTAACCAATCAGACAACTGCAGTTGTGCAAGCATATACAGGGGAAGATCACCCTTGCTAAGGTAGACTTAGTCTCTTGACAGTGCCAGGAATCACCAGCCTGAAACACTGCATTACCATAGGTCAAAATCAAATTCGTGATTATTATTTTTCCTGTATCTTCATTATAGAGTTTTTAAATCTCGATAACTAATGATGATGATAACAAATAAGTAACTCTGGGTTGTTTTTTTTTTCTGGTGACTCTGGTTTTTAATAATACTAAGAGACCAAGTTAATTTCTTTATGTGCTGGTATCTATTACTAAAGTATAAAGTTAAAATGAAAACTATGACATTTACTAATACATGCACTTAAGACACACATGCAAAACTTTAAAATTCAGTAAACACTTTAATAAATTTAAATAGTTTGATACTATAAGAATGTTATACTAAATTGAGCCTGAAAAGCTACTTCAAAGTGGCTAAATTCAACAAGGTGAAAAAAGGAAGTCTGGCTAAAACAAATTGATCAGAAATATAGTATGGACAAAAAATTAGAATTCCTTCAGTATGCCACTAAATAAACATATTTTAAAGCCCTCTATGTGACTTAAACATATCTTACACAAACATATCTTGTATCTTATATGTGATAATTCCTATATCTGATAAAGGGACTTAAAATATATATATAAATGTTTGGTGTTAGGAAGTAATACATATATCCTATTCACTATTTAAAGTTAGCAAGTCTATCAACTATTACATAGTTAGGCACCGAATTTAGAAGATTACCAACTTTCTTTGACAGAAGAATTTATATGGCTTCTAAAGTAAATTATTCATAAATATAAGCATAAAGGCAATATTCAGATGATTAATTTAATCCATATAAAGAAATAGGAACCTGTAAATTCATTTACAGGCCTACATTACAATTAGATTAACAGGAAATATGTCATCATGTTTATATTCTCAGCAATTATCACAGTATCTTATACCTATCAAGTATTCAATAAGTATTTGTCAAATGAGTAAAGGAATT